ATACAATTAGAAAAGACAGATGATTCTTGAGGTCGATCATGTAACTTTCCCCTAGGGCGAAACGTGAAAAGTGAAAAATTTCACGTGAACTTACGATCATGTACGATTTTGCGGGATCATATAGCTCCCTCAAACATGAAAATGTGAAATTTTTCACATGACTTTTTCGCCATATACCTTGGTGGCGGAAAGGCGGAAATCTAGGGAATTAATAAATATGCTTTGGAATTAGAGAAGATTAGGGCTGCGTCAGGATTAAGTGTACGTATATATACAATTGTTATTAAAAGATGTATATAATACTGTACCAATAAAATAATTTTCATTAGCTATAAAACCTATGAAACTATGTTTCATGATTTCACTTTCTACGCATCCAAGCTACATACATAATCGCTGTACGTGAAAAGTTTCACGTGAAATGTCAAGGTGTAAAAAATGAAAAATGAAAAGTGAAAAATGATTGACCCCCTGATCGAGGTCGCCACTCCGAGATTCGAGATCAATATTTTCATCAGACCGATGAGAGATAAACCTCCTGTCGTCGATGTTTGTGATGTTGGCAGCGCTTCCATGGAACGTCATGCGCAGCGCAGGATCTTCCAACGGGGGACAAATAAGGATGCGGTACCGTATGGGACATCAGGGTTAGGTTTTAACGTCATACGCGCTTGTTCATCGAGAATTTCTCCTGTTCAAAATGTTTATTAAACCGTTCAAAATCAAGTCCAATTATCAGCTGAAGGGAACTGAAAGGTTCGTGAAATTTTTCTGACGTCACGTTGGTTCTTGACGCCGGGTTCTAGCTCCAGGTTATATGCTCCGTACTCATCTGTCAAATTTCATTTCTTTTTTTCTCCAGCGTCTTTTTCACTCACCTGTGCAAATAATAGAATAATAAAAAATCAAAGAGAATTTGCAAATCTAACTAATCGGACGTCTTGGGTGTGATTTATATTTTTACAGTATATTTGATTTATTATATATTTGTATATATGCTAAGAAGAGAGCTAATTAATTATTGTTGTCCCTTTCAGAAAAAAGTTATGTGAGGAAGTGTTGGCGGCGTACCCGAATCTTTCAGACGAGGAGATTCAATTGCTGTTGCCCAAGAAGGAATCTATCAGCATTATGAAAATAATGACATATAATGGACACATAGGCAAAGTATATTGTGTCGCCAAAATACCTATGTTCTTTCAACTAGATTCACGGGACACTCTGCTGTTTCCCACGATTTTTACATTATGGCACCATCCATATTTGTTACACTCCTTTACTATGCATACAGCACTTATACCTAAATTGGCAAGTGGCGCAGATCTCATGTTACCTGGATTAATTTTGAAGGAACCTGTGACTCTTTATAGTTTTGGTAAACGGCCAAAGGGTACTCCAGTATCAATCAATACCGAGAATAATAAGGTTTGAATCTTTTGTATTTTATCTTTTTATATGGCCACATATGAAAATTTTGATAAAAGAAAGAGAGTGTTTCTTTTTTTGGCAGGCTGCAATCGCTGTTGGTGTTACTGCACTTTCCAGCGAGGACATGTATTTGGCAGCTGGACATGGGAAGTGCGTGGAGGTCTTTCATGTCATTGGTGACATGCTCTGTCAATTAGGCAAACCACCCCTGAGACCTGATTTGGGTCCACCAAATATCGATGGTTCCACAGATACATTGGAAAGTGTCGAATCAATCAATCAAGAAACGATTATGAATCAAACCGAAATATTGTCGAATAAGTTAGAAGAGCTAGATATTGGCGAGAATTCATGTGATGTAATCAAAGACAAAGTTGTTTCTAAGGTAGACATATCAAAAACTCTCTTGACATCTGAAATGGAAAAGATAAATTGATCGTTTTTGTAATATTTAGGAACATACAGAAGAAGTGGAAACTGAAGATGTACAAAATTCAAACACAGTTGAACCAGAAGTACTTGACCCAATTCAAGAGATGGATAGGCTATTGGAATATTGTTTTTTGAAAGCATGCAAAATGACGGTGAAATCTAGCGATTTGCCAATGTTGTCGTCCAATTTTTTCAAAAATCATCTGTTAGCCGCTTGTCCGCCGGGTAAAAACGTCGATGTGAAGAAATCTCGATACAAAAAGCTATCGGTTTTCCTATCGGAAATGAAAGCCAAAGGAATAATCAATACATCCATCACAAAAGGTGTCGAGACCTTACTATCCATCAAGGTAATATCTGATTTAGGGATCTGTTTTTTACAATCAAGAATCATATTTCCAAATTATCTCAGACTCATATTCTTAAAAATTAAATATTATATTAAAACACTTCATAGTTTTGGAAATATGTTCTTCAATTAAAAAGCATGTGACTGTAAAATATTTTTTTTTTATTTATTTCAGTTTGATCATCCGTTAGTGAAGAAATTAATCATTACCGAAGAACCGGTTGCGGCTGAACCAATGGTTTCGAATAGCGCTGTCGTATCGGAATGTTATCGAGTAACCGCCGATGTTTTACCAGTTCTGTCAAAATTTGGTTATGAGTAAGTATAATAAACACGGCAGTTGCCGAATGATGCCATTTATCGCGACGCAACGTAATTGCAGAAAAGATGATTTTCTATATGATGATGACAAAAATCGCTGAATGTTGCACCATAATGTACGTGCATATTCACTGTATTCACTTTACATCGAATGCATGGTGATGATTGCAGAAAAGGCGACGTGATGAAAAGAGCCGAAATCAGAAAATGTTTTACTGAGTACGTGAAAGCGGAGGATTTGCAAAACGGAAAGTAAGACGACGATCTGTCTTATATGTATAAACTTGATTTCGCACTTTTTTTTCTATATACTGACAGCGACTAATTTTGCAGGACTTTAAAGTTGAATCCCCAATTGGCGGGAATCATGCGAACCAAGGCTCATCAGGAGACAGTGACGATGGAAGACGGAATAAACAAATTTATCGGACGTATGACGCACATGCACGAAGTTACTCTCGCAGGGAATACATTGTTGCATACAGGAAAACTGGAACCAATCGATATGAGGGTAACGGTGCGATCGGGTGGAAAAAAGGTAAAAACGATTCAAAAGAGAAAAAATACTACAATTATTTGTTATTCCGATGACGTATACGTTTGACCTGTGCAAATTGCAGGTAACGTTAGTGAACAACTTGGAAACGTTCGGAATCAATCCGAAAGAATTCAGCAAAGAATGCCAAAGTATTGGCGCAAGTGCGACAATCACCGATGATCCTGGCAAAAAGACACCTAGTGTTCTTGTTCAGGGGAATCAAATTTTATACGTATACAAATTACTCACAGGTGACTTGCTTTAATTTTAATGTTTACTTTAATATTTTACGGTAACGAAAATTCTAACTTTGTTGTTTATTATTTGCAGAAAAATACCAGATAAAAAAGAACTATATAAGAGGTTTAGAATTCGCTCCGAAAAAAAAGAAATAATCTTTGCATCAAAAAAGTAGTTATTCTAATTATCTAATAATTGTGAACAGTAAAACCATTCCTTGTGATCTTAATTTTTTTCGGGACTGTCACAAATGGATATTCGATATTGACGAGTGCAATCGTTGACGGAATAGTTTCAATTATGGAAATTATTGAAAAACGCTGCCATTTTAATTATGATTAAAACACATTTTTTAATAGACAGTTTTAAGACGATTGAATGATATCTATCCTTTATCAGAGAAGACCTTATAAATAATTATCAAATAAAAGCAACTTATGAATATACAATATATGAATTTTCATTATGTTTATCCGACCATTCACATTTATTCTCTGTTACAATAGAAAATATATAGCTAAAAAAAAAGAAAGAAAAAATTTCATGAGCCTCAAAGAGCAGGTAACATTCGTATGAGAGACGACAAGTGATCGAAGTTTGTTAATATAATTTATTATATATCGAGGTTTCAACATGGAAAAGTACAAATATTGCAATATGGGGAGGGCCCACGAGCTCTCCTCGGGTGGGAGGGAGGGAGGGAGGAAGGCAGGAAAAAGAGTTCTCGATTGCACAGGAGAAGGAGGATACACGTAAAGGGAATGCCTTTTGCGGGATACAGGGATGCTGCGTTCGGATGAAAACCGAGAACGAACCGCGTATACGTGTATAATGTATATGTATATGTATATATAATCGTATTTTCTTCACATATATATATAATATATCTGCATATCGCGCATTTTGCTTCTTAAATTTATCTCTCTTCTTTTTTTTTTTTCAATCTTTTAGAGACGACGGGATGCCGACGGACGTCACGGAAAAACGATGGAGGATGCCCGTCGGTGTTTTACTTTTTCCTTTTTGTTTTCTCTTTTTTGTCTCTACGGATAAAAGGAAGGTTCCCTCCTCTCCACGGCCCCCGCATATATTTAATACTCGTTTTGTTCTTCATTTTTTTCTCCTTTTTTTTTCCCCTTTCATTTTTTGTTCTATTATGCCTGCACGCACGGGCGTGTCACGAAAGGCGTCGCGACGCGCGCGAGCGTGTTTCATG